CTTCGGTTAACGTTGTTGCATTTTGGGTTTTGGTTTTTTTTTTTTAAGACCTGTCTTGCCGCTGTGAGGCCTGTGAAGACAGGGCAGGTCTTGCGGGCACGAGTTAAAGCCTTGGTGGGTCACGAAGGTGGTGGTGTCCAGGTGCTGAGGATGAAGCTCTTGTTATCCCCCCTTGTCTAAAAGTGATTCTGTGTAATGCTATTTAAATGTGGATAAGTAACTTTTTTTCTGGGTGTTGGTGCCTATAGCTAGATGCTCTAGCTTGCCAGCAGGTGCCCACAGGTTTTTTTTTTTTTGGGGGGGGGTAGGAATCTCTGCAACTCGGTAGGAATGAAAGTTGCAGCTTGTAACTAGAGCTGTTCAGGCAGAGTGGGTAGCTGGTGATATTTCAGTGAAGTCTGTTGAAGTCACTGTGATTACCTTGTTTTGTCCTGTGCTATTAGCTGCGGTGGTTCAGGAGGTAATTTCCAGTCATTTCTGCCCTCATGTGGTGAGGGTGGAAGAAAGTTCAGTGTTAGGTAACCTTATCGGCAGCTCAAGGCAGTCTGACCTCACGAGTTACAGGAATGTGTTTGCAGTAAACATGTATGCACTGATGACTGAAGACAGTTCTCTGAACCTGAATAATATAAATTTATCTATTCTCCCCCAGAACGTGTAGGAGAAGATAATTTGCCACTCAGTGAAACTATAGATGAGTGGCAAAACCTGAAACAAATTTATTTTGATTATGGCTTGTCATATGACACTAGGATCTCTTAGAACTGAGAGATCTTGGAGCTGTTTACTGTGGTGGAGAAACTGAAGCAGAAGGTTGGGAAATATTAAGCTAAATGGAGAACAGACTCCTCATTTAAACAGAAGGCTTAAGGAGGAATAGATAACATAACATGCTGTACTACTTTTTGTCTCTGAAACTTTTTTCTTTGTGTATGCCTGGCAGCCTGGTAAACTTGAAAGAGAAAAGTGAAATTTTTTTTTTAGTGCTCAAAGGAGGAACAAATTCCACTGGACATCAGTCACTCAGTAAAACTTTCCAAGTACCTTTTCACTTCAGCTCTTGAATTATGAGATCACACTCTTTAGTAATGCCTACAGGAAACTGAAAAAATATCTACTGTTGATTTAAGGAATTTGAGATTAAGAACTTCTGATTTATCTTTCTGTTGTGTGATGAGGCATCTGAATGATATTGTTTATGTATGTCAATCTCTAATTATAGTCTCTGTAGGAAGAATAAGGGCAACGAAAGGTAGGTGGTGTCCTTCCATATGGTGGAAAGATCTCAAATGCTAAAAAGTCTAAAACCCACTCCTGCTTTGAGCAAACTTTCTGAAGTATAAGTTTTATGAAGTAAATAATGCCTAAAACACATAGGAAGCAACTCTGCTGTAGCTATTTTAAACTTAGATGAAGTGCATAGCAGAGCCTCTTTGAGAAAAAATCCATCTTCCTTCAGTTAAAAATGAAAAGACAGGTGGTCCTGCTGCTGTAAAATCAACTGCTGAAGGTATCTGGTGAGTGTTTTCTAATCCTGTTCCAGTCAAAATGTGTCAGATAACTTAAATGATCTTAAGTATTTCTTGACTAACCCAGCTAAAATTTGATGTTGTCTATAGGTAAAGTAGAAAATATCCCTTTTTGAATAAAGGTGTGGTTAATCACTTTAGCTTTGGAGTCCGGATGTGGACTCTCTGACAGAGTAAGCTGAGATGCATTAACATTTTAATGTGTTCCTCCTGTTGATACTAGTGTTTCTGTAGAGCCCCTTAATACATTAAGTAGAATCTAATTTCCTGTTCCAGGTCTTTCTCTCTCTTGATCTTCAGCTGGTATGCCAAGTGTTTTCTCTCCATTTTTCCACTCTCACATGGTCTCCTGTAACTGCATTGGGAGCCGACTGTGCCAGGCTAGATGGGGATTCAGTAGTAAAATGGAAAGGTGTATCAAAACTGGCACATATTCCTTCACTAAGGGATGTGTGAGTTTAAAAACCACTTCGTTATCAGTGTCATAGTATCAAGTGCTACGTGACCCTACAGGAGGAGTACTCGCCGAGAAAGGTTTGACAGCCTTCTGATAGATGCTGGCCCTGGGAGAGCTGCCATGAAAGAGGCATGTCAGAGGCTAGGGTGAAGTTCATTATGCAAATCTGTGCTCATTAATAACCAAGACATGTGAATAACTGAGTTTAAATTTTGAAACATGTGAAATCTGAGACATGTAATGGCTGTGATATGAGAAGGAGGGCTGTGATTCATTGGCAATTCATCAAATACCATTCCTCACAGTTGCCTTCACTGCGCAAAGCCGTATGTGTAGAAATATTGCAAAATACTTGTTGCAGAGGCAGCGGGGCTAGAAGAGGAAGAGAATAACAAATAGCTGCATCTCCTCGCAGGGAAAAAAACAACCTTACTTTGTACTAGCGTCTCAAACTCAGTATAAAGCTAAGCTGCCTTTGACCAACCTTTACAAATACAGCTGAACTTGTGCTACTTTATACACTGATATTTCTTGGTTTCGGGAAAAAACTGATGCATGGTTTGTATGTACAGTTAAGTCTCTGAGCTATGGAAATTAAACACTCTATATTAAGAGTACGAGGCACTCCTAGCAAAGTTAGTTGCAGATTGGTGTTTCCCTTCACATTCTCCCTTAACTACAAATAAGGTAATACTTAAGAATCATTAGTTCACTGTGTCAACTCTATTTAAGGTACCACTTTGTTATAGACCCTTCCTCTGTATAATCAAGTATAATGCCTTTCCAGAGTCAATAAGAGCACAGCAAATCTGTTCAATTTTCTGTTGGCTTGTTATGATAGCATACCTCATCTAACTGAAAGCAGCCAGTGTTAGAGAGTCTTGTTTCCCAGTAACAGGAAACTGATGGGGTGGGGAATACCTTTAAATCTAAGCTGAAATGTATCCAAAACTTCTGAAGCATGCAGTGTTGCCCTCAGTGGGTTGCAGACCTTTTTATTTCGTGGTGGTAAGTTCTAATTGTCTAAAAGAATGTGCACGGATTGTACTGAGGTAGGAGTAACTTGGTCTTATATCCAGAATTTAAAAAGTAGTTGTGACTCTTAGTATTGGCAACTTGACCTCTAACTTACAGGTTAGTACAAGAGTGTCTTACTGTGCATGAGCGGGGGATTCTTTTCTCATTTCTGTTATAAAGCTGGGTAAAAGAGCAAAAGCTTATTCGGAAGCCTGTAAGCTGAAGTGTGGTGCTCAATAAGATTTTTTTGATTTTTGTAAAGTCTTCAGCATTTTATTTTCTCCCACAGAACTTCTATGCTGCAGAACCAGCCTCAAAGGCACTATGGAGTTACCTCTCCAATTAGCTTGGCTCCTCCTAAGGATATAGATTATATTCATACTCAGAAGCTAGTTGAGGCAATGAAGCCATTTGGGGTATTTGAGGATGAAGAAGAACTGAATCACAGGTATGACAAGACTGTAACATTTGTTAAATTGGTCCCAAGAAACGAGAGATTAATATGGATTTTCTTTACAGACTGGTTGTTCTTGGTAAACTGAATAGCTTAGTCAAAGAATGGATTTCAGAACTTGGCGAGAGCAAGGTAAGAATTTTATAAATTCTTACCAAAACAACTGAAACCTTTTTTTACTGCTTTTAAGTACCGTACTGCTAGAGCTTATGCTCAAGTTCAGCTTTTGACTTTCCTCTTGTGTATCAAGTAGAGCTGTAGTAACAGTTGTTGTAATAAGGTATGAAATACCTTTCATGTCAAGATCTTGCAGTTTTTGGGGCAGTGGCTGTATTTGTAAAGTAGCTGTATCAGTTGACCGTAGCAGTGCACGAAACTGAAACAACGTGTTGTGGGATGAGATAGATGGTAAAGGGGCAATGGTTTTCAAATAATGCCCCAAGGCTTAAAGCACTCAATTTACTTAGAAACTATTTCATTAAACTTACCTTTTGTATAGTTCTTAGACTGTGTTAACCTATATAGATCTGCTACAGAGGAGATAAGTGACAGGTTTTAACTTTTTATAAATTAATAGAAGGACTGCTATGTTACTTGTTCTTTTCTTGAGTTGCAACCTGTTTCTTCAGAGAAACAATAACAGTTTATTAGACTAACAACTCAGTACCCACATAAAAGGACCTGTTTAAGGAGACTGGTGTGATCGTTTTAAATAAGTTAGATGTTGCTGGGATCTTGCTCTCAAGTGCTAAGAAGTTACAAGCTGTGATCTATTGAGAGCCTAAAGACTTCAGCTAGTGTCAAAAGAAGCTCAAGCTAGTTAAGCTTGCACATAGGTCAATATGTTTCTTTTTTCCTAAAGCAAACTATTTCTTTTTTTACCCACAGAATCTTCCCCCTTCAGTAGTAGCAAATGTTGGTGGCAAAATATTTACGTTTGGTTCTTACAGGCTTGGAGTACACACCAAAGGTAGAACTTTAGTTGTCTGGTCGTAATACCAGTGTTTGAAAGTGGCTAGCTACATTAACTGAAGAAATGGAATATTTCTTTGCAGGTGCTGACATAGATGCCCTTTGTGTTGCTCCTAGACATGTGGAAAGATCGGATTTCTTTCAGTCTTTCTTTGAAAAACTAAAGCATCAAGAAGAAATAAAAAATCTAAGAGTAAGCTTTCTCCTTCATAGACTGTGCAACTCCTGCATATAATAGGAATATACATGTTCAGGATTCACACTGGTAGTGAATGTCTTACAAACCAAAATAAAAATAGATATTTTTTTCTGACTGTTTTTAAGCAACACTAAACATTATTTTATACAGTATAAAAATGCCAAAGTCAAGCTTTCACTTGATGTCCCCAGTGACCAACTACATCATAGGAATCCTTGTTGTGGTACTTACTCCCCACACCTCAAAAAAAGGTTTGGGAATGAATCATCACTGTAGCAAAAAGCAAGGTTGTCCCTAGGACCCTTGCTTTATTCCTAGATGTATGAAGAGGCCTGGAAATGAAGTATTGCATGCCCTAAGAGGAAGGAACAGCCTGAGAACTCAGGCAGATCAATGTGATGTGGAAAGGCTTCAGTCAGTAGCCTTGCCATAGAGTTTCTCTGGATGCTATTCAGCATCCTGAATCATTCTTCTCCAGTATTGTTCCTCGCTGGATACTTCATCCTGAGACTTTTTGCCAAAATGATGCACACTGGCGGCTTGATATAAAGTAAATAGGAGCTGCACTGTGAATGTGTAATACTAACTGCTTTGTAAAATCACCTTCACAGTGCTGCAGATTCTTGCGTGCAAAACTGAACTGCTAACCTGTCAATTTTTGAGCCGTAAAATAGGGATAATGCCATTTCCCTTGTGAAGAAAGGGAGGTAAAGACACTTCTGTGGTAAAGTCCTTAAGGTGCATGTCACTCAGGTGTCTAGAGAAAAGCTTGAGGGGAAACTGCTAGACTATGTAGGTAAAATGTTCCTACTTCTATCTGTAGGACTAATCAAGGTGAAACATGATCTTAATTGCGATTTGATGACGTGCTTTCATAGCTGAACTCTAAAAACTTCTTTTTTGTAACTGGCTGTTTTCTTTGAAAGATCTAGCAAGTAATAGTACCGGTGCTACTAGAACTGCAATTTTAGTGTCCGTTGTCAAAGGCAGTTGGTTTAACTATGGTGACATCTCTCTTGCTGTTGCTTCAGTCACTTGTATGGATGTTTCCTGTCAGTTAGCCTCCAAGGAGTCCATGTCTCTTGAGTAGAACAGCAATGAGACTTGAGGCATCTTGAGATGATTAGAAGTCTGAAAAACGAAATGAGTATATTAACCCTTCAGAGGACATGGGCGGCTAGGTGTTTCCTTAGCTTCTCAAAAACCAACATTAGAGCAGAACTTGCCTCCCACTGGAGGCATAGCCTCCCACTGAACAGAGACCAAACAAGGCCAGTTTGCTTTACCCTATTCTCTTTTCCCTTCAGGATGTCAGAGATGCTTCCCTTTAACTTTTTTCACTAGAATTTAATAGAATATCCTACTGCTTCTTTGATTGTGTCTTGTTCTTTTCATGTTAATTGGCTGTGTTTCCAGGTTCTTGCCCAGCTTGTCTCCTGCATGTTTAGATAGGACTGCTTCCTCTAATGCCATTTGTGGGAGACTGAGTCTAAGTGAGCATGGAGGAGGAAGACTTTGTCCCTCTGGGGCCAGGCAGCTACTACCTGTAAATGGCTAACCCTGTTGCTCCTCCTAGAAACTTGAGTTGGAAAGCATGATGTTCGTGTGGGTTCCAGCTATCCAGCTAAAGTTGAGTGTTGTACATGTTCGTTCCTGTCTAGAGGGTTTTTTTGCCCCCTTTTTTTTTAAAGGCCACACTAAACTCTAGCTGCTAAACTCTCCAGCCTGTATTGAACATGGAGACTCTTTCTTTGGAATAAGTGGTAACTACTTGACTCAGTTAAGGCTAATCTTCACAGTTGGCAAAAATAGTGAAGTGTCTGTAGCTTTCTGCTGCAAGTTCAGGGAAAAAAACTCCACAATAAAGCCTTTCTTCTCTCCAAACTCCAGTAAAGGAAAAGTGTTCCCCTAGTCTAGTTGTCGTCTTACAGTTTTTTTGAAAAACTTCATATGTAAAGCTAATGAGATTTTGTTCAGGTGACTCTCCTGGAAACAGGGTCTCACAGTAGGCTGTGGGACAAATCTAACAAGTGATCTACTCTGAACATGATAAAACTGAAGACTGTCCAGTAAGATAGCTGCTAGCTCTTTCAGGCATGGTAGGAAACAAAATTATGGGAGACCAGCGCACACTGTGAAATGTGGACTGGATTATTTTAGATTTCTCTGGATGTTAGCCAATAGTAAGATAGCTGCAGATATCTTTCACTTGTCTTCCTCACTGCGCAGCTAAGTATCGTAAGTACAGACACAAATGGTTCGTTGTGCAGTGACTGTTAGTCAAAATGCATGATCAGCCTCCAAGCCTGTTGCTAAATAGCTTTTTAAGCTAATATTGGTACAATGCTACTTGCTGCATATAAACAATTTTAGTGACTCGATCAACTATAACTGACAGTATTAAGTCTGTATACTGAAGAGTTTAGCCGTGTTTTGTCCTAGTCTAGGAAGAATGTGAAAAGTAGCAAAAAGATGCTTTCTGAGACTTTTTCTCTTCACAGGCAGTTGAAGATGCGTATGTACCTGTTGTCAAGTTTGAATTTGATGGCATTGAGGTAAGAATTTCATTGCTCCTTTACTGAGGATTGTTTTTCATGCTTTGAAATACGGTAGTTCTTCCAGGGACAAGTGACTGCTACTTAAAAGGTTATTGGTATGTTAAAGTGGATGTAGGAAGCTATAATTGCATAGCCTTCCTGCAACCTATCCCAAGAGAAGACATTGCACTAGAATTGGTAGTTACAGGAGAATAATCCAGAGAAGTCTGAAAGCTATTACAAAACCAGCAGTCCTGATACAACTGAAAACAAAATAAGTGAATGTAGTGGCACTGATAAAAATGATCTCTTAACTGTCAAAAGTTTGCTTGTGACTTAGACTTGAAATACTCATTTCCTTAATGGAGGATGTGTTACCTGATCTGCCAGCATTTAAGGCAACGCTTAAATTGCCCTAGAATGAACTGAAAAAAGAGCAGCTGCGCATCAGGAATGCAAGTTGCTGCCCGTCTTTCCTTGCTACAGGTATTTAACCCTCTGTGTAGGGCTGTTAAATTCCTAGTTTGCTCTAGTCCACCAGGATGTAGAATTTAAACTGACAGTGAGCAAGGAAGGGAGATATTACAAACTAGTTGCCCCTAGGAAACCTTGCAGACCTGGGAACAGCAGGTACATCTTTTTCTAAACCTGTTCTGTAGACGATGGTGGCTTAATTGAGTACCGTTTATTTTAAAAGTGTGTGCAGACTGGGAATAGAAGCACTGTTTCTTGGTAACTCTTCTTTGCTCTGACAAGCTATCTTTCTACACAGGGCTGTTTTATTTTTATGGGTATGTGTGTATATAGATATATAGTGTGGGAGTGTATATAGTTACTTGTATAGCTCATTATATAAATCACGTGGGCAGACTAAGCACTTTCTTGCCAAACAAAGGAAGCAGTTGTGAGGCAAACAGGATCTGGAAAATGAAAGGAGTCAAATGGCAATCTCTTATCTGCCTAGAATTGTCAGCTTCCGGAATCCTCTTATCTTAAATAAATCTTATGCAGTAAATAAACATCTGAACGTTATAGTAACTAAGGAAGTTACTGCATTGATATTGCTGTCATCAGGACACTTATTCAATGGCCTCTTGATGGGTCTGTATTTGTAAAGACCAAAGAGTAGTCTTCCTGTAACCTCACCTTACTAAAAAAAATGTGCTTCAGGATCAGAATAATGTATTGCATAAGAAAAGTGCTCTCATCTTCACTGAAGTGTAGTTGAGGTGGTTGAACCTAAACCTAATCAAAGAATTATGATGTAACTTCCCTTTTAAGTGGAAATTCTAAGTTTAGAACAACTACTCAAAAAAACTTCCTTCAGTTTAAAAAAGTGTGGTGCAATGTAGTTATGTAAATAAAATATGGAACTTCTAACAGTTTTCTCGAATTTTCTGGCAAATACCTCTCTTTGCAGTCGTGTAATTCTGAATATGAATAATCCCTACTGTTCTCCAGACTTTACCGGTTGACCCTCACTAGCGTGCTGTTTGCAAGCAGTGCGGTGTTCTAACTCATGGTTGGCACTTCTTTCTCCAAGATTGATCTCGTGTTTGCAAGACTGTCTGTACAAACGATTTCCGATAATCTTGATCTCAGAGATGACTCGCGCCTGAGAAGTCTGGATATAAGATGCATACGGAGCTTAAATGGTAAGCATGTTCATGCTTATTTAAAAAGAAAATGTTACTGAAGTTGGTATAGAAATCTATAGAGAAAAATACATTACACAATTCAAGTTTGTGCGGAAGATGCAGAAACTGATCTCCTGTGTGCTTACAATCTGAGGAGGTGGTGAACGGACTTAAATTTAAAAGTTTTAAGGAGTGCAATCAGGTAGACCTGTATTTCCTGTTCCTTTGGTCAAGCTGTGCGTTGTTGCAGTTTGTTTGCCACAGAACTTGCGCAGATAAATAAAGGAGAGCCCATGATAGAGAACGTTGTGTAGTAATTCATAAAAACAAAGGTATTTAGAACACTGGAAGCCCAACTTACTTGCAGTTTAACACTGGCTTAATTGTCCCTGGCTGTGGAAAGAAACCTAGCTTTCAAAATCCGTGTGGGAAGGTCTTATTAGAAATTGTTTGCTGAAGTCTAAACTATGAAAAAGCTGTTCTATGCACTGGTTCAAGATGTAAAGAAATATGGGATGTTATGTATAATAAGCAAGGCATCCAAACTTGTTTTCATAGTCTTTTGATGATAAAACTTTAAGGTATTGAACCAGCACAGCAGGAAACCGATTTGTACCTGTTACTGTGAACTCCTATACCTCAACTCTTCTCTTACAGGCTGCAGAGTTACTGATGAAATACTACATCTGGTGCCAAATAAGGAGAACTTCCGACTCACGCTCCGTGCAATTAAACTGTGGGCAAAGCGTGAGTAATGTGATTGTTTATGATCTTTAAAATTTCAGAAGCATCTCATGCTGGGAAAAGTAAGTTTCTAAGCCTGTTGGGGGGTACTTCAGCTTTGGATAGTCATTTAAACATCAGTTTTATCTTGGGCATAGACTAAATCTTGATTAGTGTATTTCAAATCTAAACCGCAAATGCTAAAGGTCTGCCCATGTGGTAAATTGTGATGTGTGTGTTTTTTTTAATGCGGGGTTAGGGGGGATGCCTGCAAGGGAAGGTGCTATATTGCTTATCAGGAATCACAGAATCACAGAATGGTTGAGGTTGCAAGGGACCTCTGGAGATCATCTAGTCCAGCCTCCCTGCTCAAGCAGGGCCCCCTAGAGCATATTGCCCAGGATCACATCCAGGCGGGTTTTGAATATCTCCAGCGAAGGCGACTCCACCATCTCTCTGGGCAACCTGTTCCAATGCTCTGTCACCCTCACAGTGAAGAAGTTTTTTCTCAGGTTTAGGTGGAACTTCCTGTGGTTCAGTTTCTGCCCGTTGCCTCTTGTCCTGTCGCTGGGCACCACGGAGAAGAGACTGGCCTCATCCTCTTGAATGCGACTACAAATGATGAAAAAGCTCATTAAGACACAGAAGCTTCATTTGGGCATGTGGCTAGAGCGAGTGCTAAAATGATAGAACTTTTTTCTTAAGGGAGGTTGGTGTTAACTGTATATCTGTAACAATATAAGCGAACTTTGGAGTAGCAATACTTATGGGAAGTGGTGGAATAACGATTTTTTTTTATCACTAAGGAGGAACATTTTTTGTCCTTATCCCACTGCCAAAATACTTGACTTTCCTGAGGCTAAAGTGTACTAAGTAATCTACGGATTGCGAAGTCGGTGCTGTTCATCTGAAGGAATATACTAATGTACTGAAAGAATAAAGACTAACTAAAATATGTCCGTTCTAGGACGTGGTATATACTCCAACATGCTGGGATTTCTTGGTGGGGTTTCCTGGGCGATGCTAGTAGCAAGAACATGTCAGCTCTATCCAAATGCATTGGCTTCCACTCTTGTTAACAAGTTCTTCTTGGTTTTTTCAAAATGGTAAGAGATACTGTTTGTAACACTTCAAACTGTACCAAGTAGTAAGTCTTGTAAAGCTAGTTATCAATTTAAAATTATGTCAACAACATTCAGTTTTAACTTAAATTACATGCTTGAGCTTTACACTGACAGTTGATTCCTAGTTACTGGCTCTTCTTATATAGGGAGTGGCCAAATCCTGTATTGCTGAAACAACCTGAAGAGAGTAATCTTAACTTACCTGTATGGGACCCTAGGGTATGTAGACATTTAATTCAGAAGCCTTTGTTTTCCTTCTATCCTAAGTTTATGCTAAGCAGAACTGTTTTAATGCCATAGGTGAACCCATCTGACCGATATCATGTAATGCCTATAATCACACCAGCCTATCCACAGCAGAACTCTACGTACAATGTATCTACATCAACACGAGCTGTAATGGTGGAAGAGTTCAAACATGGTAAAGATATTAAATGCTTACCACATTTATTAATTGACTGGAAGAAATATAATGCTTTGTAATGTAGAACTGCATTGTTTCAACGGAATTACTTTTTGATCTGTCCCTTAGTGTTTAGAACTTACAAAGCTCCTAACTCATGCTGGTGCATTGGGTTTTAATTGCAGGCCTTGCAGTTACAAATGAGATTCTCCAAGGAAAATCAGACTGGCCAAAGCTCCTAGAACCGCCAAACTTCTTTCAGAAGTACAAGTATGTATGAAGTCTGTCTGAACTTGACATGGTTTATGTACTGTTAGCGCAGGGGATTTTGCCTCTCAGTCTAAACAGAAGATAGCATGAATGCCTGTGTCTTTCAGAAAATGGGAGGTGATCAGATGACTTTTGGTAAGGATGCGTGCAGGGATACTGGGCATGCAGAAACTATGTCATACTGCTGACACCATTTTTATTAACAGAAACTCAACTATTTTGACTGTAGCAGAAAGTGATCCTAAAAGATGTCATCAATTTTTCTTTAGTTAATACTGTATGGAATACAGGATAGCTTTCTTATTTGGAAGTCATATTCTACATATATCTATGGCAGTTGTTTTCATTTCACTTAAATGAAGTCCTGAGCCAGTATATTATTTTCATTTTCTTTTAGACACTATATTGTACTAACTGCAAGTGCATCTACTGAAGAGCATCACTTAGAGTGGTAAGATTCTTTGAATGTGGATTCAGTACCTAAGTGAAAACCAATTCAATGTTGCACTATGTTTAGTTAATAAAGTATTGAAGTGTACAACTTGGCATTGAATACAGGATCAACTGAAGTAGAGTTCATCTGCTAAATGAAGAGCTGTCTTGTCAAAGGCAGCTAGCATTAAATTTGCTGTTTGAGGAAACTAACCTGAAGACTGAATTCTGAAGAGAAGGGGCAAAAAGGGCTAGAGTGTGTACGTATCCAAGTCAGATGGCCTGGATCATCTCAGGAAGCAGACGCAGTGAGTCTAGGGAGGCTGTTTACGCCCACATGTTGCAAGTTAAAAGCTCCTTGTTACAGAGACTGAAGTGATTGTGGAGAACTTGGTGTGATCAGCTGTGTAATGACTACTGAAGAGCTAGATCTTCCAGTGACTTCTAGACCTTCTTAAAATGCTAGGCTTACCTTTTATTACTGGATGTAATATTTAATTTACAATTAAACTGTACTCAACATTAAGTTGCTCTGGTTATGTGGTCAGCCTATACCAAGGCCTGTTCTTTCTCAGTGAAGCGAAACAAGCCTCTGAGCATCTGAATGCTGCTAATCACACTTACCAAACTTTAACCTAGTGGTGGAGTCGGACCTCTTGGGTTCAGTCCTGAAAATGTTAAGTGTTTCGGTATGGTCAATAGTAGATGGGTAAATTGCAGAAGTGCTGGTCTACTTTGCAAAACTTAATGTGAGAACAGCCTCAATTGTAATTAAAGGAAATAACTGCTTAGAGCACTTTTTGCCTCAAAGGAGGTATGTCAATATTTACTTGCTTGGCGTGTGTGAGTAACAGTGCCAAGTAATTGTATGAATCCTAAAACAGGAGGAGAACAGAAGACTCGTTTAGGGGGGAGCTTATCAATGTGTACAAGTATCTGAAAGGAGGGAGTAAAGAAGATGGGGCCAGACTCTTTTCAGTGGTGCTCGGTGATAGAGCAGAGGCAACGGGCACAAACTGGAACGCAGGGAGTTCCATCTGAACGTGAGGGAAAAACTTCTTTACTGTGACGGTGACTGAGCACTGGAAGAGGTTGCTCAGAGAGGCTGTGGAGTCTCCTTCCCTGGAGATATTCAAAAGCTGTCTGGATATGATCCTGGGCAACGTGCTCTAGATGACCCTGCTTTTGAGATCATCTAGTCCAGCCCCCCTGCTCAAGAGATCCCTTCCGACCTTGGCCATTCTGATTCTGTGAGGAGCTAGAGAATATAGTACTATAATGTGTATTTTGATCTTAACTTTGCAACGATTCTCTATAAAGAAATGAATACTTTGCTTGCTCCAAGCAAGCAAAGGAGCTGTATGTGTAACTATTCTCTGTTCTGAAGGCACCTTGATTATAGTTCAAAGTTTGGTTTGTGTTCTGTAAGAGGAATCATTAATTTCTGCATCGCCTCTAAATGATAACCTAATTAATGTTTAAAGAACAGTTTTAATGAGTAGTATTTTTCCTCTGAACTCTTTAATCTGTTCAGTTAAAAACCCTATGGGCTGCAGCTTGATGTCAGTCACAAGTAGGTGTGCAACAAAGTTGCAAGCAGAGGGCTTAAAGCTGTAGATTTATTTTTATCATGAAACCATTTTAACAGAACAAAGTTTATTGTATCCCAATATCTTATGAGAAAGACTAAAAGTTCTGACTCCAGTAAAAGCTGCTGTTCTCTGTAATGGCAGAAATGAAGACAATGTGGCTCTGGTTATGCATCTGGGAAAACTAAAAAGCAGGAGTTAGTAGGTAGACTCGCTTCAGTTCATCTGCCATAAGAACAAGTTTTTAGTCCAGCTCTTGAGTAGATTTGGAATTAGCTAGCATATCTGTTTTTCACTGACTTAAGATGCCTTTGAAGAACCCACAGACTTTTAACTAGCTTCCTAGTTAGCAGTATTTTATGTAACTGCAGAAAATGGCAGTATTTCTTTTAAATGAAAAACCTTTGAGGTCATGATTCTGATCTTGGCTAGGTTTCTGATGAAACTAAGGTGCCTAGATTATTCCTTTACTAAAGGAAATGTGTTTTCAGTTTAGGCCGGAGGAGTGGAAACTTCACTGATTGGTCTGCAGGTAGAATTGCATCTCCATGCAGATGTAAAGGCATAGCTGTGCTCAAACTTTTTTTTTTTTGGAACTACTCTTCCCCTTGATCTTTGGAGTAAAAAGAAGAATTTTGTTCACTTGCAAATGCAGCCAAAGATGCTGGAATCTGCTTCTTACTACCACCTTCATCATAGGTTCAGTGTTGAAGAGCTGATCTAAATTAGTAGAGAAAAATTACACAACTCAGTCTTTTGAACCTCTGAAGTTCAAGTGTCACTTGGAACTTCTTTGCGCTGTAGTGTGCATAATATAAAATCTAGTGTCTGCTCAGCTGAATGAAACTGACTGCTTATTGTTTAATTAGAATTTATGATTAAAATATTTTAAACAGGCATATAACTACTCTGCTGGCTATGGTTTTTAAAAAAAAGCAAAAGTGTATATATATTTTTTTTACTAGGGTTGGCCTTGTTGAATCTAAAATTCGTGTGCTGGTTGGAAACTTGGAGAGGAATGAATTTATAAATATTGCACATGTAAATCCACAGTCTTTCCCTGGCAACAGAGAACACTGTAAACAGTGAGTTTCATTAATTTTTTTTTTAAGACAAAGTTTGGGCAGTATTTTGTAACTTGTTAGTACTTGGCCATCTTGGGTTATCTGTGAGATGTTCAGTTAGGGACATGCTGTTTTGTGGGTACAGAATCTCATAGGCAAGATTTTGAACATGTAAGATTATATGTATATACTCCACATTTTTAAATGAGACCTTCAGAGTACTTCTGTGCTTAGGTACAGGCTTGCTCTATCCTTTAACTGCTGTGTATCACTAAACTGTGCAGGCTGTTTTGCCTAATCCCTTCTTGAGACTAAACGCTAAAATCCAAATGGACCTGGTATCTGTGCATAAATGGACTTGTGAATCTGTCTTTTTAGGAGTGGCTATGTGTCAATGTGGTTTCTTGGAATCATATTTAGGAAAGTGGAAAATGCAGAAAGTGTTAACATTGATTTAACATATGATATACAGTCGTTCACAGATACAGGTAAGCCTATATTTTGCTCTGGTCTCTTAGGGTTTCATATTTGATTCTAGTGGAAGTTATTTCATGAAGTGAATTGTGCTTCTTCCGGTGTTAGTTATCTATATATTGCTCTATAGAGGGCAATATATAGGAAACTAGTTTTGTCTTATTTTGACACTTTGGCAAAGTAAGTACATCTTGAAAGAAGAGTGTGTACCACAGTCATGCACCAGGTGAGGAAATACTTTCTAGTAATCCACCTATAGTGGAAATATGGGATGGCAAATTCAATTGAAACTAGGGCTAAACTGTAGTATTCAACGTAGAAAAGGCAATGTCACTGTAAACCTAGGGCTTAAGTTGTTCTGGTGGATGGATGAAGATATTCCTTTTGACATAGGCAAGTAGTAAATCTATGAATAAGCCCAGGTGAAGTAGCAGTTTTGCAGATCGTAGTAAACACATTCATGAAGGAACTGTACCTCATGAAGTGGGTTGTCAGAGACCTGAAGCCTGCAGATATCCATTGCCATGTAGTTATACTTGTCAAAATGGTTGTCAATTGTTAAACTTTGGAATTGAGAACTAAACTGTATCAGATTCTAAAACAAGTTGCTAATGCCTATTTACAGTGTTTTCCTGAAATACAGTTTGAGTATGATACAGTCTCAGAACTGCTTCTTCCTACTTCAAAAGCCAGTAAGTTGTCACAATGCAATTACAGGTGGTCTAGCATGTAAACGTTCATGTTAATCTTCCCACTATTACTTTTTGGTAGATTTAGAAGAAAGAAATCATACTGCGAATGTTAGATATTGCTAGAATCAAGAGGTTTGGGAGGGTTATTTGAAAGCATAGGTCTTGATATTCCGTAGTGGCTTTTTGCTTCCTCCCAGCCTGAATGCCCTTGTATCTCTTGGAAATGGTTGTGTGCTGTTAAGCTTTTGAATAGTGATCTTTTAAGAAGAATTAAGGAAATGGGGCCGCTTGTATCTGAAGTGGCAAGTGTGTTTGGGTGGAGAATTTTAAATGGTGGACAGGTTAGTCAGCACAGCCTATAATACGTTCCAGGCTAGGGTTTGAATCACAAGAGACTGAACAGAAAAGGTATTTCTTGAAAGGTGTGAAATCCTCTGGCAGGTGTGGGAGTGAGCAGTAGTTATTTGACTGAGTAGGAAAGCTTTCTGCTACACTTGGAGAATATTTTTAGAGGGCAAAAGTAACTACTCCAAGCTGTCAGGCTGAAGGATGTAGAGCTATCTGCTTGGAAGGCTTTTGTTAAGTGAATGTTACCTCACTTCTACATAAACATAATTGAATTTACTTTGAGGCAGTAGTTCATATCGGTGTGAGTATTAATATTTGTGCTTTTGTTTCACTTACAGGCCTTCTGTAGAAAGACTTGTAAGCTTTTGTGTAGCCCTGTCCTTACTTTGATCCCCTATGAATGTTTTTAAGCAGACTTCTCTTTCCAGTTCTTCTCAGGATAGACCTAGTAGATAAGGCTGTCTAAATGTGACTCAATTCCATAACAACTGCTGTGCTAGTACAGAATTCAAGTTTCGTAAAAGGCTATTTGTAAGCAGGTTAAGAAAAACTTGCTTAAATTATTGTGCTTACAAGTCAGACATCCTTTACATCTAATCTTACTTTCTTTGACAGATATTTTAATGTCTAAATTACTGGGAAAGTAGATGATGTTATGGAACTTCTGTGAAAATGTAAACTAGTTCAAATCTTGAGAAAGGTGTCTAGTCTCAGTGTGCACAACAAGGTTTAGTTCAGAAAACTGTTTACATCTGTTCTTAATTCTCAGTCAGAAAACTAATGGTTAAGGAGTCTTTTCTCCTTAAGTTAAAAATCAACGGAGATCTAATCTGTGCAATTAGCAAAGTGGCTATAACTGACCTTAAACTCGTATGTGAATAAAAAATAGTTTAAATAGCTATGATCTAGCTAGTTTATACTAGGTGAATGTGAGCTAAGATGCCCCTGCATATCTTGAGACTATATGTGGAATGCTTATGTTCTGCTGTGCTGGAAACTTGTTGCTTTTCCATGGACAGGACAGACTTGAAGGCTGCTATTTCTGAAGAACCCATGTGTAGCTTCAACATACGTGTAACAAAAGCCTCCCAATTAAGAGGCATAACACTGCATTTCATGTTAGTTTACAGGCAGGCTAACAACCTCAACATGCTGAAAGAAGGTATGAAGATTGAGGCAGCTCACATGAAGAGAAAGCAGCTCCACTATTTTTTGCCTGCAGAAACCTTACAGAAGAGAAAGAAGGTATAATAAAACTTTTGACTCTTCAGGAAACTTTTTCTTTGCTTGCTTATTCTTTTAAGATCTCACTTTCTAAACTGTTGTTTCAGCAAAGCATGCCAGATATTAGTCAAAATGCTAGTGGCCTTCAGCCCAAAAGGGCCTCTTCAGATGGAAGCTGTTTGGACAGTTCCAGAGATACGGACTCCAGAACACCATATAATTCCCCTTCGTTAAATAGGATATCTAAATTGGACACCTCTACAGCTGAAATAGAAAGGTTAGCACTATAACCTTAGAATTGTGAAAAAGCTACTGTTAACTGACTCGCAATGTGAATCAGTTCTAGGATTTCTTGTTTGAATGTGTAGATCACAAGCATGTGGAGTACTCCAATGGCTTATAGACAAAGCTGACATCTTGGTTGTAGGGGGGGTTGGGGAAATCCTTCAAAAACTAATTAAATGTACACAGACATGTAGGAGTAAAGAGGATCTTGGTACTGGAAAAATGATTCGGTCCTGCATATAAATCCACTTAGGCCAATGCATCATTTAAGCCTGGAGCGCTTGACCTGTAGGTAACTCTGTCTTTAGTAACAAAGGTATGGCTAATGCCAGCTGGAGTTAAGTTCTGATGAAGTACTAATCTTAATCACAGAACTGAACCGCCAACTTACTACTGCTAACTTAGGATGGAGCAGCATAAGAACTCCTTGGCAGTGGAAGTGCGTGTCTCCTTCTGAGAAGTCCACTTATCCATAAAGTACTTCAGCGCAGGAGGAATAAGGAATCTTGGGAGTAATAGCCCAACAGAATCAAATACGTAGTGCTTGCTGTATCGTGGCCCAGTCTGGTAATGGAGAAGTACTATGCAAAAAATAGGAAACTTTGGGGCGCATGTCTGTGGAGCAGAAAACTTGTTAATAGCGGAATGGAATGCTGGGTATTCTAGGCTGGAAAAACAGAACCAGACCATGGAGGACTCGGCTCATGCTGAGCCATGGAGGCTCATGCACAAAGAAAATGCTTAAGTTTTAATTTGCAGTGTAAAGTTCAGCAAAATGAAGATCTGGAAGGCTAGATTGCCTACTAGTTTGTCCTTGTTCAGCGGAATTGCGACAATGAGCTAAGAAAGTAGTCCTCTGTCTTGCTTGAACTTTTTTGAAACTATGTACAGTATTTTGGAAAGTAACATTTTGTAAGTCAAGCATTTAAAAACTTGATTTTTACAGAAACGCTGTAATTCAAAGAGCTAACGGTGCTAGCAGTAGAGAGAAGATACCTAATATAGCTGTGCCATCAGTGTCTAAGGGACTGTCCATTCCAGTTATTGGTTCAAGTATGTATTAAAGTAGTGTGTGTGGGGAGGAGGGGGAATGCAGACTTTTAATGTTATGGTTGAACTCTAAAAGCTGGGTGTCTACTACAGAAATGGAGACTACGGTTACCATAAGAACATCAGGACCTCCTTGCATTGGTTGCACCATTCCTACAGTAGTAGCACATAACACAGTTTCTCGGCTTAGAACGCATCTTACCCAAGGACAACATGAACTACATGGGACTCCAGCTACAAATTCTAAGAATGCTGCACCTAAACGACCTCACTCACCTACCTCAGAAGAATGCCCCAAAAGAACAAAAGATAGAGAAAAGGTATTTTGAAAAAAAAAAAAAAAAAGCTCATGGGTAGCTAGGCAGGGGAGTGTTTGAAATAGTGGTGGGTATTGTTGTAGAATGAGTGGAGTAACTGAGAAGTCGGAATTGAAACATAATGGTAGCTTTACTAGAATGTATGTATGCAAAATTGTCTGGGATCTAAAAGTATACTACTAATAACATTTTTCAAGATCTGACACTAGTCTCTGGTTATGCAGTTTCTAAATACTGTTGTACTTTTTTTGTTACGCTGTACTGTCATTACCAGTTGCTAAATGAACTGGCCCATTTGTAAGCAACTCTTCAAACAATCCAGAAAACACTTTAATTGTCTAACTGAAATGGATATGAATCTTACAAATTTTATCTAGTTCTGGCGGATAATTTGGAAGCCTGTTCATAGTTTTTGTTTAGGAATAAGTCTATTTAGCAGGTCGTCAGCTACTGAAAAGACAAAGCATGGAGTTGCTTGTTAAATATTGTTGTCATGGAAACTTTAGATTAATGCTTGATTTGTTTTAACATTATATACAAAAAGCTGTTCTTGCCAATTTGACTTCCTCTTTGAGGCAGAGAATGAGGAAAAAGCTCACATCTGGCACTTGCAAAGAATCTGAGCCTTTGGCACTACAAGTTAGTATTAAATATATCAAGTACAGGTTTCAAGGCTGAGTAACAAGATTGAGAGACCTGAAATTCCTGTGTGGTCGTAGTCTTTGCTTAAATGTTGTTTTAAGAATGGCTGTTAATACTTCCAAAATGTTGACTGGAAGCTGTACCCAAGTATGAAGGTAACTTTAATTCTGTTCTTCTAGTTAATTGGCCAGGATTCAGCATTCAAAGATGGTGGTAATCCAGAAGATGTAAAGAGAAGATCTGCAGAAAATGTAATTTTGAGGTGGTTTTACTCAAAGTGAAGTAACTGAAAGCCTGAATGTTCTAATGCCCAGACAGCTCACATAAATACTGCATTTACTGATGTAAACAATATGCTTTTTAGTGTAGCTTATCTCAGTCTTCCTCTCTTAAATATTATACCTATGTGACTTACCTGTCGAGTGTTATTACTAGATAATGTAGTAGTGTAGAGACTTAAGCCTTTGACCTCTCAAAGGGAGGATAAAGAGCTGTATACTGAATGTAGCTTGCTACTGAAGCATCATCTCTTGAGGGCATGCCCTCAAATCAAGATGTGGTCTTGTGAGCAGCGCTTTCATGAAGTTTGAAATACCTGAAATACTTTACACATGTTCATGGGATATCAAAAATTTGAATGCTTTCCCTGGTCTTAAAGGAGGTGGAGGGTATGCATGTATGTATTTAGCTGTTGTCTTTTATGCCATGAATTTGATGATACTGTTTAATATATCACTTCTGGGTTTTTTAGGATGGCCTTGGAGGAAAATCCATGCCTATTCCAATTATTGACACATCGAGGTCACAGGTATTTTCTGTTGTGCCCTTATCTTCGCAGGTAAATCAAAGCTAGAATCTCCATCGCACGTACAAAGATTATATATAATTAACTTCTGTAAGCTTGGTTCTTCTGGATAGTTGTTAAAGCTTTGCCTGTCATGCTTCCAGCAAATGTGCTGGCCTCTAGCACACAATGAGCTTCTAGGCTTACTTGCGAAACTTAAGCCACAGATTGAAAGTTACTGCGCTTGGAGATCCATGTCTACGTGCACTTGAACACTGCCACAGTTTGTTTCTCAATTTGCTTTTTCCTTACCAAGGAGGAATGTATACTCCTTGCAGATACTTTATAAAGTGCTCTGAGCTGTCGTTATCTTAAATATTGGTATACCAATTTCTATGACAACACTTGGAAGCTCTCAAGAATAAGTGGCTTTCTCTTCTGTGAGATGTAAAATTTAGTGAGACTGAGGGTTATAAGACTGGAATTAAACTGGCTAGTAGAGAGACGCTATATTCCTGATCCTTTCCGTGGATACCAGAAGAACGCCAGGTTCCTCTATTATGTTGTTAGGCAACTTCTTTCGTGATATGATTTGGGGCGACTCTTTCCTGAGGAAAGAATAAGCATGCAGAGGGGAAACAATTTATCTCTGTAAAATGTGGTGTTAAACAAACAAGTGATATGGTGGAAAAAACAATCTTCTCTGTAAACGTTTAATTTTGGCCATGCTATCTTGGTAGGTTAAGAATGGTGGTATTCTATAGGTTTAGCTGGAAAAGGGTGTATCTGCTACTACTTCTGAATGAATGCATTTAAAACTTCCTTTTCTCTGTGGCATCCCTTTTTTGTGTTGTAGAGGCTTTCCAGTAAAGAACTACCAGATTCCTCATCTCCTGTTCCAACAAATAATATTCGTATTATTAAAAGATCCATCAGACTGACCCTTAACCGGTAACAAAAGTATATCTTCAGGTAAAGATGGTGTGCACTTGTTTACTGGTTCATAAGATCAGTGTCTTGTTACTGTCCAACAAAGTATGGAGGGTCACTGTTACCCTACTGGAAGTTATTTAAATATAAACTAGCTAGTTAAACGTTATTTGCATTTTGACCTGCAGATGCTGTAGGATACTCCTATTACTGTGTAGCTTTTCCAAGATCGCCTACTGACCAGCAACTGTCTGCAAAATCATGGTTTTCTGATTTTTTTTAATATTGTTAGCTTAGATGCTTGCTTCCTTTGGAACTACTTTCTGCATACCCTTACAACACGAGTCTTTTAAAAGTCTTAACAGTCACTAGCTGAAAAAGCTTTTGTTGAAACAGCCACAAAAAACAACCTCTCCTGTGACTTGGATTCAGAATGCATGTAAACAGGCTTTATTAGTCACTGGAACCACATTCTGGTTTGAAGTATGTATGAACGTGCTTGTATTTGCTTGTATCCACATGAACTAGAAAAGCATATTATTCTTGTGATCTTAAATTATTTTCCAGTCTGGCACATGCACTCCTGCGCATCTATCACAATGGTGCTCAGCTTCTACAGGCAGTAGCTTTCCACTGTCTAGCACAGCCATGCGCTACACAAGTGATACGTATTGCCTCCCATGGAGGCCCATAAATAATCTAAATATTGAAGAAAATGCAACAGAGGATGCTGCCAAGGTATGGAGATGGTAAAATGTCTCATGCCGTGTTATTTGATTTTTGTCTTAAGGCTGCTCTAAAATGAGATTTCCTTTTTGTTTTCACTGGGTAGCAAAGCTATACTCAAACACACAACTGAAGGCATACTTGAGCATTGAGGCGGCTGAGGGGTGTCATGGTACTACTACCCACCTGCAAGCTACAGCTTTGAAAGTGCTTGGCATGCAGAAAGTGGTATCAGGGTTTCGCTGAAACCCTGGAGGTTGTTCTAAAGAGTTGCATGAAAACTTGCGGTAGTCTTAAGTCAGGTTTTGTAAACAAGCTGATAATACTGCTTGCCCAGTTA